CCACCCCAGCTCCAAGACTCACCACAAGGTTCCCAATGACCATCATGAAGACAATGAAGCACCATGTCCCATCACTGCAGTTCCTAACAAGTCTCAATCTTCTTCCTGGTGCAGGGGCTGGAGGTGGAACAGATGGCCACCTACGAGGACATCACTCCTTTCCGGGACATGAAGGCCAAGTGGACAGTTGGGGAGCACCCGGGTGAAGAGTGAGGGGTCCTGCACCCACTGCCAGGCTGCACTGGTGGCACAGCACCCTGCCAGCACCTGTGGGGACAGATCCCCTGGACCACAGCTCTGCCAGGCTCCTGGATCCCAGGCTGTGACTCCAGGCTGAAAACCACTTCCAGCAGCTCCGTGCAGGGTCTGGATCCTGCTCAGCACGCCCAGGCTGTGCCCACCGAGGCTGCCCTGCCCTGGCTGTCACTCTCCCCACCCTGCTGATGAACCCCTAAAGCCTTTGTAGAAATTAAGAGCCACCATCCCCTGCCAGGGTGGCACTAGTAGCACAGCACCCTGCGAGGACTCTCCAGCTGCAAGGACCCTCCTGGGCTGCAAGACCTCACTGCAGACCTGGCAGAGGAGCCAAGGTGAGCTGCACCACGTGGGTGTTATGAGGAGTTTGGGCCACTCTTTGGCTGTCAAGACATGGATGTGTTCACAGGCCAAGCTGAGGTGGAGGATCCTCCAAAAGTACCTCTTTCTCCCCAAAGACTACAAGAAAAGCTGAGGAAACAGCTCTCACCCAGAGGGGCTTGTACAAGGCTTGCTCCTTTCCAGGCAAGAGCTGGGCTGTGTCACAAGGACATCCCCATGGTGAGGAACATGTGTGACCTCAGGATCCATGGGAAAGCTGTAAATTGTGGGACACAAACCTCCAACTGCTTTTTGAAGTCCTAATAAAAGTAACTGGTAAATCCTCATCCTGCTCCATCCTGCCATGGCTGGTTCAGGGCTGTCCTATACCATATAGACAAAGGGATTGCAGTCTTGGACATCTTCAGCCTCATCTTTCCAAAAGGGTTCAGTGCAACTGAGCAGTTCCAGCTGCAGTAAATGAACCCCATAAATCTGACAAGGAATTGTCTTTTGGAGCAGCGAGCTGGCAGAGGGAATCACCAGCACCCAAAAGCTCTGCACAGCCTGGGCAGCTCCTGGGTCAGCACTCACTGGCTGCAGCTCACCCATCAGGGTGGGCAGATCCTCCCCACACAGCCAGCCCAGCCTGGGGGTCACCAGGGCCCAGGGAGCACACAAGAAAGCCTTCAAGGAAAGTTGTTTCACTCGCTTAGATGCTCAGGGTAAGGTGTGTGGACATGGGTCAAGCCCCAAGAGAATTGAGGGTTTTTTCCTCTTTCAGAAAAGGAAAGGGATTTGCAGATCCCAGAGTGTCACTCTGCTTTAGGAGATGGGATGTTTTGTGCTGCAGAGGTTTGAAAGCTTGAGAACAGCCAGGCTGGGATTTGGGAGCTGCTTATGCAACTGCAGCTGTGCCCTGGGCTGTGTTGGCCCAGCCCAGCAGAGCTCGGTCACGCACTGCCTTCACTGCTCTTCTGCCTCATTTACTGCCCAGGGATGACTGGGGACAAACCCAGCCTCGGGGAGCCACAGAGCCTGGATCAGCCCAGCTTCTCCGTGCTCGGCTGCAACAGAGAAAACGTGGCTTTAACACCACACTTTCAGTCCCAGAGCTGCAGAGGCAGGAGGTGTCAGGCAGGACGTGGTGCAAGGGGCTGGGCTGGGCTGGGGAGCTGCTGCTCAGCTCATCTCTGACCAGTATTGACATCTTTAAACACGAGGTGGAGGAGAAAAACACCCCCAGATGTTGGTGGCTATTGGGTGACGGGACACCTGATAGCTGCAGGACCCTCTGTTCCCTCTCCTCCAGGCACTGACATTTACCCCAGGACACCACCACGTCTCCAGCAGCAACACTCAGGGGCTTCTCGGAACAGGCCACACTCCCCCATGATTATTAACCAGCTCTCCACCCTCTGCTCCTGCTGCCCCAGGGGTGATGCTGCTCTTTGGAAACTGGAGCCACACCAGGGGCACAGCACACCCTGGGCCTGGAGGAGCTAAAACACCTCCCAACCAGGGACAGTCCCTGAGCACCAGACAAAGGGCCAAACCAGTGTGGTGTGGGGCAATCAGTGCTTTATGGGGGAGTAAACATCCTTTAATAGCCCCTGGAGCTGCTCATTCCAGTTCTGTCTCATTTTCCTCAAAAGCAGGGGTAGTGTGCTGTGTCCTCTCTTCTTCCAGGCCAGGTTGGATGGGCCTGGAGCACCCTGGGCTGGTGGGAGGACATGGCAGTCCAACCCTCCCCCCAACACTGCCAAGGCCTCCACTAACCATGTCCCCAAGTGCCACATCTACAAGGCTTTTCAGTCCCTCCAGGGATGATAACTCCACCCTGGGCAGCTGTGCCAGGGCTGGACAGGCCTTTCAGGGAAGAAATATTCCCCAACAACCTAAACCTTCCCTGGTGCAACACCAGAAGTCTCCCAGAGTGGCCAGTCAGCCCTGTGAACTGTGGGCCAAGGCTGCAGAGAGAGGCAGGAGCAGCAGGTGGATACAATCAATTCCACCATTGGGATTGGCCTTGCTGTGATCAGGAAACCTTTAATTGCAATAAGCAGCAAAGTCTGCTGAAATCCTTGAGTTTCACGCTCAGGCAAACAACCTGCCCAGCTGTGTATCAGTGACTGTGATGAGGCAGCAGCATCGTGAGCACTTGTGCATTTATGCAGGGGGAAGACACTGAGCTGTTGTTGGGATCATGGCCACACAAATCCATTTTAAACAGAGCCCCTGCTATATAAGGGGCAGCACAACAGTTTCCTTTACCAGACCAAAGGAGGAAACATTCACTGTGAAGCCACACCTGAGCAACTCAGCAGGCAGGAATGGCTCCAGGTACCTTTTCTGTCTGTTTTAGAGGCTGCTGGGTGCATAGGGTGATGGGAGGTGGTGATGGGTGGTACTATGGTGGGCTACACACACTCCTGACCAGCCCTGAATGAAAATATGGCAACTTAGAAATCCATGAAAAATGATACTTTTCCCTTCAGTGTGTCTTTAATCCATGAGGGAGCCTAAACTGGGCAAGGAGAGGTTGAAGAACATGAAGAACAAGGTCAAGCCACACTTATAATAGTTATTATTAACATAAATGTCGGCAGGGATATTAAAATTCATATTCCAAGCTTAGTATAGGGATCAGGATGATGCCTAATGCTCATGTCCAAGTGCTGCAGGCTCAAAAAAGCTCCGAAGTGTTTCGACCTGCAAGGGATCTTGTGCTCTTTGAAAGCCTATGGACACTTGTGCTAGATGTCATGGCTGAAAAAGATTCTCTTTAGGCCTGACCAAGAGCCTCAAATCCTACAGGTCTGTCCCAGGGAGCAAAAGCAGCTGGTGGCAGCACAGGTAATCAGCTCTCACTCCAGTGAGGGCAGAGAGCAAACCATGGCCCAAGGGAGGTGCTCCCAAGCTCTCACCTGGTCTCACCATCCCCTACCTTGCCTATGGCAAAACATGAGTGTGTCAGGGCAAAACACACTAGTTTTCATGGAGCAACCATGACTCCAGCCAGGAAGACACTGCTGGTAACACTGAGAGCAGCACCAGCCCTGAAGGCACATCTAGTGAGAGGGTTCCACTTGATTTTGGGGCAGGCTGAGCTCACCCACAGCACCCAACAAGGCACCAAGGAAGGTTAGCACTCAGCCAGCACGGACAGAAGGGTCTGGGAATGAATTCCCAAGTGCCACTCCATCCTCAGCACATTCCCTCTGGTGCTGCTGTCACCTTCCTCTCTGTTTGCTGCAGGGTCCTGGTTTTCTCCTCTTGCCATCGCCGTGATCACACTGGGGCTGCAGTGGCCACAGCAAGCTGCCACCTTCCCAGCCATGCCCCTTGCCAACCTGTTTGCCAACGCTGTGCTGAGGGCCCAGCACCTTCACCTCCTGGCTGCAGAGACATACAAGGAGTTTGTAAGTGCTGTGGGCTCAAGGCAGCTCCTCCCTGTTAGCCTGATGGCTCCAGGGATGGAGAACTTCTGGAGACAGAGATTTTTCAGCTCAGTGAGGAGAAGGAGTCTAAGAGGACAGGGCAGGGTATGAACCATCAGCCTGGAGCCTGTCTCCTCCTCTCAGCTCTCTGCCCATCTCTGCCCCCTCCTCAGGGCTGTTTCTGCCTGTATCCAGACCCACTGCACAGGGTCAGCCAAAAGGTGTTTTGCAAGACTTCCCTGTGTTGGTCACCTTTGGCCCTGGGTGAGTCTGAGTGCCTAAAATCACCCAGTTTCACTGCTGCCAGGAGCTGCATCAGCTGCCCCTTTGGCAAGAGCTCACCTACTCCTTAGAGGTCATCTGCACCTTGGGAGAACCAAACCAGGCATGTTCTGCATTCACCTAACACCCGAGTGCGAGGAAGAGCTTTAGGGCCAGTAGCACTTGTGCCAACACACAAACTCCTGTTTCCCACCCTGTGCAGAGGCAGCTCATGTCTCATGTTGAGTAACCATGCAGGACACCTGGGGAGGTGTCTGTGTCCTTCTCCAGGACACAGGCCACAGATCAGAGTGCATTTGGGATGTCTCCACAGGAACGCACCTACATTCCAGAGGACCAAAGACACACCAACAAAAACTCCCAGGTGGCATTTTGCTACTCAGAAACCATCCCTGCTCCCACTGGGAAGGATGATGCCCAGCAGAAATCGGTAAGTTCTGTCCCCAGGGCAAGCACAGAGCAATTTGGGGAGTCCCCACTGCAGGAACAGAGGGTTTCCTTCTGTCAGCACTTCAGTGCTTCATCCCTCCTCTCCCTCTCGTACTCTTTAAACCCTGCATGAGGCAAGGAAGACTCTGCTGATTACACCAGAAATCATATTGACCCCACCTGGAGTGCTGCACACAGTTCTGGTGTCCTCAGCCTAAGGAGGACATGGAACTGTTGGAGCAAGTCCAGAGGAGGTCACGAAGTTGACAAGAGGGTTGGAGCTGGGTGATCCCTAAGGTCCATTCCCACCCCTAAAATTCTGTGATCCTATGATATCCCAACCTCAAGGATGAGCAAAACTATTGTCTGCACAGGACACAGGTCTGGGTGGTGCCCCTCAGCCTGCTGAAGCTGCAGGAGCAGTGTCACACACTGGGGCACTCCAGGCTGTTCCAGATGGAGCAAGACGCTCCACCAAATCCCTCA